AACAGGATTTTTTCACTAATTCGCGTAGAGTGATTGTTTTCATAATGGGATTGGATATTTTTTCTAGGTTTCGTGTGTTAGTTTATCTAAAATAGTGCCGAATGTGTTCAGTGGCTGTCAGATCGTACGACGCAATTTACTTCTTTGGCTTCTATCTTTTGAATTAGGCTCTTTGAACAGGATTTTTTCACTAATTCGCGTAGAGTGATTGTTTTCATAATGGGATTGGATATTTTTTCTAGGTTTCGTGTGTTAGTTTATCTAAAATAGTGCCGAATGTGTTCAGTGGCTGTCAGATCGTACGACGCAATTTACTTCTTTGGCTTCTATCTTTTGAATTAGGCTCTTTGAACAGGATTTTTTCACTAATTCGCGTAGAGTGATTGTTTTCATAATGGGATTGGATATTTTTTCTAGGTTTCGTGTGTTAGTTTATCTAAAATAGTGCCGAATGTGTTCAGTGGCTGTCAGATCGTACGACGCAATTTACTTCTTTGGCTTCTATCTTTTGAATTAGGCTCTTTGAACAGGATTTTTTCACTAATTCGCGTAGAGTGATTGTTTTCATAATGGGATTGGATATTTTTTCTAGGTTTCGTGTGTTAGTTTATCTAAAATAGTGCCGAATGTGTTCAGTGGCTGTCAGATCGTACGACGCAATTTACTTCTTTGGCTTCTATCTTTTGAATTAGGCTTTTTGAACAGGATTCTTTCACTAATTCGGGTAGAGTGATTTTTTTCATAATGGGATTGGATATTTTTTTTCGGTTTCGTGTGTGCGTTTATCTAAAATAGTGCTGAATGTGTCAGTGGCTGTCAGATCGTGCTGCGCAATTTCCTTTTTTTGCTTATATTTCTGAAATTGTGCTTTTGGATTAGGTTTGTTCGTTATAACAGGGTAAAGTAGGTTCAAGACAATATTCCATTGAAATAAACAGGCATGTGCAACAGGTAAAAAATATTGGATTCATGGAATGTCAGTATGGAGTCATTAGATGCCATGAATTATATTTTATAGCAATAAAAATTGAAGCAGTGATACAAATATGTAAGATATGATATGTCTATTGGATTCTAGATCAGCTAACCATCTGACAATATATGAGATAAAAATCTTTGGTGGTCAAATAGAGGTTCTTAAAAAGGAGATGCTTGAGGCAGATAAAATGGAGTGAAATTAATTTAGACTATGTCATCTTTTAACATCAAGATACAGAGAATACATTGAGATTGAAAGGTATGTTGTGTTCTTGATCTGAATAAATATTAATAACAGTTGTCAAAGTCAATGGTAATCGCTAATGTATTAAGTTTCAGAATGATGGATCTGCGATACATATAGAAAAGGAGAAGTTCAAATGAAAGCAGTAAGAAGAGGAAATACATATTATGCGAGATTAAGAAATATAAAAGAGGCAGCATATGTATCAAGAGAGGCAGATGTGTGGCATCGACTTGAAAATATGGGGATCATTGAAGAGATGGAGAATGAACACTTGATAATAGTTATATTATAATATGAAAGGTAAAGATAAATGGAATATAGAGTGTATATGTTTCATTAAGGTACAAATATGTAGAAATTTCTATAGGAACGTGGAAACTATAAAAGCAGTAAGAATAATGGGACTGTGGCACATGGACTTCTTTGGCCAATAGAGCCAATGTCAAAAGGAGGTACAAGGTATGTCTTAACTGCTAATGATTATTCGAGAAAAGATCCATTTGGTTGATTGATTTATAAATGACTAAAGATTTAATATGAAATATTATTGACAAAGGATTTTTGTTATTATAGGAGACTTATGGACATGAATAATATTTATATGCAAGAGCCACCCACTAAAGGAAAAGTAAGTATTAGTTAATAATATTTCAGTAAATAATAAATTTTAATAAATTTGATTTTGAAAGTATTATACAATTATAAAGCTAATATATTTGTTATAGCTAGGTTATAATGAAAACAACTGTTGGTGATATTGAATTAGAATTATGGGCAAAAGAAACTCCAAAAGCATGTAGAAATTTCATTATGTATGGAAGGTTATTAGGATGACATTATATTTCATAGAATTATCAAAGGATTCATAGCACAAGGTGGTAATCCAAGAGATATAGAAGAAGGTGGTAAAAGCATGTATGGAGGACCATTTAAAGTGAAACTACAACATTTGAAAATAAAATGAATTCCTTTTTTATACAAAAATATAATAATTATTTCATATATGTATTTTAGAACGAATTTCATACAAGATTACGTTTTTGTCGGCGAGATTTAATTGCTATTACTAATTCTGGAAAAGATGACAATGGTTCCCAGTTCTTCTGTACTTTTAGTCCTACATCAGATTTGCAGAATAAACATACAATCTTTGGTAAAGTTACCAAAGAAACTATATATAACATGCTTAAACTTGAAGAAGCACTTGCAGGTGAGGTAAATTTAATGTTTACAAGAAAATATATCAAGAATTGATATATATATATTTCCTCTGTTTTGTAGAATGATAGATCACTTTATCCTCCAGGATTGATAAAAACTATAATATTGAATAATCCATTTTCTGATATTATACCAAGAATAATAATACAGGAAAATAAAGAAGTAAAGGACAATTCCAAAACTAAAACATCAGCAGTAAAGTAGAAATCATATATGTTTGCAGAATTTAGTCCTGATAGTATTATTCTTTGTAACGAAAGATTTTGTTACAGAGACTTCAAACTTTTATCATTTGGTAAAGAAGCAGAGGAAGATGATGAAGAATCTGTGATATTAAATAGAAAGTTTAGTGGTAAGAACAAATCAGTTCATGATCATTTAACTGATCCAAAATTAAGCTCACAACCAGCCGTTGAACCCCGTGGACTTGTAAATAAAAAAAGGAAAAAAAAACATAGTACCGATTGGGAAAGTGACGACGAAGTAGGAACTCAAGAAGAATTAGAAGTTATAAAGAAAGAGAAAGAGTTAGTTTATTATTTACATTATAACTATGTTATAGAAAGTAGGAATTTTTATTGGCTGTCTTATATTTATATTTTCAGTGCAATGAAGGAAAGGACAAAACATAAATTGCGAGATGTAAAAAGGAACCGAAGAATTATGTAGTTAACAATTATCGTGTATACGTGAAACTTTCAAAGTGAATAAAAAGTACCTAAGCATACAAACATCGTAGCTTTATTTTCTTTTTACCAAAAACAAAATCAAACAAAATCAAACAAAATCACTCGCCCTGGAACTCGAACTTCGAGTCTAAAATCATAGATGGCTCTGAAGTCGGTTTACTAACTCTGGTTATGTGCTCCGAATATATTTTAATAAATCAAATCGGCAGTGGAAAATTCACTAATTACTCAATATCTGTGATTAATTTATGAACTTTTATAATTCCATCTTAAAGCCGGATCCTTCAAGAACTTTCCAATATATTTTTCGATATAAATTTGTCCCTAATTAATTAATTATTAATTATTATTCTGCCGGGTATATGAATTGTTGTCGAAGACGCCATTGGTGTTTCATTAATTACTATCCTTTAGGCAATTAATATATGAAACTTTATACACTCATTATAAAAACAATGTTCTTGCGAATCTTCTCATATAACTTTTGATCACATTTTCATTCTAGTTTCGTTTAGTATTAATTATATTCTCGGAAGATCGCGATGGTCGTCGTTACGAAATCATAGACGCCATCAAAGAAGAATTAATAACTAACAATTTAGAGTTAAATTCTTTACAAAAGTTATATAGGAATGTTGTCTGAAGTTCCAGCTTTGCAATGAAATTATAAAAGTTCATAAATTAATTACGGAAAT